GGTAGGTTTCTTTTCCCTGTTTCTCTTTCAAGAATGCTTGCGTGTTGGTATATTATACATTTAAAAAATTTTTTATTTGAAAATAATTTCAAACTTTAAAAGTTTGAAAAATAAAAATACCCATATGTCATTTATCTAGATTCACCTATGGTTGGGGTTTCAGCGTCATCATCATTGCCCTTTCTCTCTACTCTCTTCTCCCTCCTTACCAACACTCCTCCCCCCAATATTTTTTTTTGCCTGAACCATTTGAGGGTAAGTTACATACACTGTGTTTCCTTTACCCCTAAATACTTAAGTGTGTATTTCCTAATAATAGGGATATTCTTACATAATCAACACTGTTCCCTACTTCATATGTTTACATCAGTGTAGTATTTTCATCCAATCTACCATCCATGTTTCAATTTGTCACTTAATCTAAGGTCCCACATAAGATTTTCTCCCTTCCCAAGCAGGGTCCAAGATCTATCTAGTCTGGGTTCGGCATCCCATTTAGTTGTTGTGTCTCTTTTGATTCCTTTAATCTGGAAAATTTCCCAAGCTCTTCTTTGTATTTTTTAGATGGACATTTTTGAAGAATAGTTCTCTCCCACATACCTGTTTGTTTTCCCAAATAGAACTTTCTTCATTTTGTCTTTGTATCTCCTCATGGTTATGCAGAGTTAGGCATTCTTGGCCCAAATACTGCGAAGGTGATGAGTGCCCTTCTCGGGTGTCACAGCCTGTGCACCTCACGCCCATGTCTCCTCATCGGTGATGTCAATCTGGTCAAGCTGCCAGCAGATTTCTCCCGTGTATCGAGTAAAGCCTTGTGAGGAGACACTCTTAAGGTCATGTGAATACCCTGCTCCTCATCAAAATTTCCACCAAGATTTTAGGACCCATTGCCTGATGCAGTTTTTACCCTTTGTTTGTAAAGTAATGCTTTAATTAATTACTGTAGCTAATTTGTTTTGTGCTCAGATTGTCCCATATTTCCCTTTGGCAGCCTCTTAAAGCTGGGTCCCATGTCCTTGTGAGCAGCTCCTTAACATTTTGGCTAACAAGATGTTCATCTTACACTTCTCGTGCCCCAGCCCTGGAATCGGCCATCTCCTCTAGCTCAGGAGCCTGTGGTGGAGGAGAGGCACTAGGTTTGCCCTTTCAGCAGAGGGGTCAGGAATTAATGCATGTGGGCACTTCACATACATATGTACAAATACATGTACACACATAAACATAACTTTATACTCACATAATTTATAAATAATGGATGTACTCCAATAACTCCAACGCCAATCCTTCCTACTGAGGTTTTTGCCTTCTCCCGTTCTTGCATGTCTGTTCTTCTGTAGTAAGAATCTGGGTCCTACCAACACCCACACATTTACTCAGTTCCTCACTGCAACAAAGGAACTTCAGTTCGCTTTCAGTGATAGATTTTATTCCCCTTTTCTTATGATTTCCATTTTTAAAAGTATATAGAATACTAGCATGCCTTCAAAAGTTCTACTCAGAATTGTTATTTCCTCCTGAACCACTTGCACCACATTTACTAGCTTGCTCCCTGATTTGTCCTTCCTGTATTATTTTATAATGATAAGCAGATATATTATTTTCCCTTTATACCGAAGGTAGCATATTATATGTGCTCTTTTGCATGTTGCTTTTTTCACTTCAAAAAAGTCTGCAAATCACTTCATATCAGTTGATTTCCCTCTTCCTTTTCGTCTCCCTTCCCCTCCCCCACTTTCTTATCTGCACCATAGTTTATTCAACCAATGGGCTATGCTTGGATATTAGGTAGTTTTCCATATTTACATAACAAATGGTTCTGAAGGCAGTAACTTTATGTTTAAGGTTTTTTGAATTTTTGAGAGAAGATTTCTAGACATTCCTGGAAGTGGAATTACCGACTCTGGAGTGAATGCTGAAGGAATTGACAGAGATAGTGTCAAATTCCTTCCCCATGGGCTAATGGCAGTTCCCATTACCACCAGGAAAGTAATGTGTGAAAGAACAACTTTTTCTATAGCCTGGCCAATAGAGTATCATGTTCAGCTTTTGAATTTTTGCCCATTTGATGGTGAAAAATGGTATCTCAATGTAGTTTAATTTTCATTTCTCTTTTGAGTGAAGTTGATAACTTTTTTATGTGCGTAAGGGTAATTTTTACCTTCTTCTATATGAGTGTTGCCTATTATCCTTGAAGATTTTGATTTTTTTTACCCCCCCCCCCCCAATTTAAGTGTTCTTTGTATATTGGGGATATAAGGCCTTTATTTGTGTTATATGATGCAAATATTTCCTTCCAGTTAGTTAATTTCCCTTTTCACTTTGCTAATGTTATTTTTTTTGCCACACAATACAGCCAGATTTATCAGTTTTCTATTACTTCTGGATTTTTTAAGTTAGAATCATTCTTCCTTACACTGAGGTTATAGAAGAGTTCTTTTTTTTTGTTGTTAATTCTCACTGAGGAATCCTCACCGAGGATATTTTTCCCATTGATTTTTAGAGAGAATAGAAGGGAGGGAGGGAGGGAGGGAGGGAGGGAGGGAGAGAGAGAGAGAGAGAGAGAGAGAGAGAGAGAGAGAGAGAGAGAGAGAGAGATATCAATGTGAGAGAGACACATTTGGTTGCCTCCCACACATGGTGTGACTGGAGCCAGGGATTGAGCCTGCAGTCAGGGTACGTTCCCTTGACCAGAATTGAAGCCGAGACCCTTTAGTTTGTGGGCCAATGCTCTAACTACTGAACAATCAGCTAGGGTGAAGAGTTCATGTTATCTTCCAGTTTTGCATCACTTTATTTTTTACTGTTAGCTCTAGTCCATTTGGAGTTGCTGCTTGTGTATGATTTGAAGTATCATTTTCCAGTTGGCTATCCAGTTGCCCACAAACCAGACATTAAAAGACTCTTTGCCCGTTCACTTTGAGATTCCAGATTAGAGCTCTAGATTGGGCTGGGGTTTATTTTTGGGATTGCTGGTCTCTCCCATGGATCTTTCTGAGGCTCTGCAGTGTGTGGAAGTATCGCCCCCCTTCAGAACCTTTTAATTTCATGTATTTCCTGGCTGTTCTTTTGTTTACTTTTCCTTATGAACTCTATATCAACTTACCTAACTACATAAAAAACATCATTGGAGTTTTTATTGGGATCACTTTAAAAATTTTAATTGAGTTAGGGGAGAAATGACATCTTGATGATAAGACATCCTAACCATGAACAGGTATGTCTTTGCGTTTGGGCAGATCTAGTTAGGCGTCCTCTAATAGCGCTTGTAATTCTCTTTGTATAGGTTCATTCTTAAGTATTCTATCCATTTTGTTGCTGTTATAAGTGAGATTTTCTCATTTATTATACCTTTTAACGTTATTATTTGTGTGTATATTCTTTTGATTTATCATTGCTTGTTTTATATCATGCTACTTTCTTAAGTTCTTTTATATTGAATTTGTGATCAGTTCTTTAGGATTTTCAAATATATTATCTTGACATCTACAGTGCTGTTTTATTTCTTCTTATTACTCTACCTTGGTTTTGTTTCAATGTTTACATTGAGTTCAGAATCATGTTAAATAGTAGTGAATCAAGTACACATCCTTGCTTCAGTGGGAATACCTTTAGGGTTCCCCAGTTAAATAAAATGCTGGCTTTAGAGTTGATGTATGTATGTTTATCACATTAAGGAAATACCCACCCACTTTTATTTTCTTAAGAGTTCTTTAATTAGGAATGGGTTTTGATTTTTTTCCAAAGGCTTTTCAGAATCTATTGAAATTATTCTCAGACATAAGAATATGTTAAATTTTATTAATAGATTTTCTTTTTAAAAAATATGCTCTTATTGATTTTGTTTTTTAAGAGAGAGAGATAGGAAGGGAGAAGGAGAGAGACAGACAGAAACATTGATGTGAAAAACATCAATTGGCTGCCTCCTGCATGCCACCTACCAGGGTTTGAGCCCACAACCTGGGCATGTGCCCTTAATGGAATCAACTGGCGACCTCTTGGTGCGTGGGATGATGCTCAACAAACTTGAGTCACACCTGCGGGGTGGATTTCTAATATTTAACCGTCCTTGTATTTCACCATCCTTGCATAAAATCCACTAGGATGTGGCTTATTATTTTCCTGTTTGCTACTGGAGTCTATTTGTAATATTATTCAGGATTTTTGCATTAATATTAGTGCATTCATATGATACCTATAAGACGTCAGCAGATTTATGGCTCATGCTAGTTTCTCTTTTTTGGTGAGCAAGTTTTTTCATGTCAACCCAGCAGCTCAAAAAGATACAGCTCCTTTTGTTGGTGTTTTAGATCAGAAAGCCACGGTAGGTAATGAGAGCCCCGCAGTCTTGCGCCCAGGGCTTTAAGGCAGACTAACTCACAGGCACAAAGGAGGGTTTGGGCTGGCCTTCGCAGGTCTGGCACTTGGTAAAAAGCTCTATTTTGAAAAGAATAGTGCCATTCTGTTCAGAAAATATGAGAAGCCATAGTTGGATTTTGATGCAGAGTGATTATTTTCACAATTTTAGACACCTAGTCATTTGGAATGGGTGGTGATACTTCTTTAGTGTGAATCCTTGTTTTTGGTGTCTAAGCTACCCATAGCAAATGGAGCACCCAGCAGCACCAATTTGCATTCTGCAATGGGGGTTTAGCAGACGTATTCCACATAAGCTAATTCCTGATTCTGGAATATGCTCCATTTTTTTTTTTTTAAAGTTGGAGTAGCTCTTGGGCTTTCCCCCCTTCTTATTTATGTTTACTTGGATGTCTCTATCCCCTGTTTATATTTTCTTAGAGGTTTTAGCTCAAATTGAGTGATGTCTTACCAGAGGCTCAAAACAAATCGCTTTTTCAAAAATATATACCCTAAATTAGCATCATGAAAATGAAAGCTTAATGTATAATCTATGAATGTTTCATTGAGTTCCAAATGGTTTATACAAGGACTGTAATACATATGCTTAACACCCTGGTTTTGTTTTCATTTCTCCTGGCATTTAGAATTGCAGAATATGTGTAGAGTGTGGCACACGGTCTAGCTCTCAGTGGCACCACAATTGCCTGGTGTGTGACAGTTGTTACCAGCAGCAGGACAACTTGTGTCCTTTCTGCGGGAAGTGCTACAACCCAGAACTGCAGAAAGACATGCTTCACTGTAATATGTGCAAAAGGTAAGAAGACATTTGCCATTGCAGTGTTGTGTTAGTTCCTCTGTGTGATCATTCTCTGTCATGTATCTGTGCTCTGAGCTTTATCACTCTAATGTTCCTTTTAGTACTGAGCGCTGCTGTAGGTGAAGTTAAGTCACATTTTCATGAATCTGAAAGGCGTAAGGAACTGAATGGGCAAAAGATAAGACAAGACCAGAAATGAGCATTAAGAGGGGGAACTGAAGAGGAAATAGTTTGACAATATGGAAGTAAAAGTATGTCAGCACCTCTCATGACATGCAGAAACGCCCATTCCTTAAATAGGTCCTTCCCCAGTTGCCAACCCCTATAACCTCTCTCTCATCCTCAACCTCTCCTTTGCCCAGTTTTTCAGCAATTGCTTCTCTTTGCCCTACGTTATGAACTAGAACATTTTATCTAAAAATATTTATCACTGCAGGTGGATTCACTTAGAATGTGACAAACCAACGGATCAGGAACTGGACTCTCAGTTCAGAGAAGAGTATATCTGCACATACTGCAAACACTTAGCAGCAGCCGAGATGGATGCGCTGCAGCCAGGTGATGGTGTGGAGATGGCCGACATCACTGCAGGTACACTTGGGCCCAGCCAACCACCAGTATACTGCTTTAGTGATAATGGGTGACTTCTGTGTGCCAGGTCCCATCTTATTCTTAATTTCTCAGCTTTTAAATACACACGTGACCCTGATACCTGCGTCTGATGGCTGACATCTCATCTAGCTTTTCACAACTGTTCTCCGGATGTTCGAATCCAGGACTGTTGTGCTTTACTCCAAGCATATTCTTTGAGCCAACAGTGCAGGTTCCTCCAGGTTTGGTAATAGGACTTAATTTGCACTTCAAAATCTGGGTTATTTCACTCTAAACAAGTTTTAGTTTTATAATTTTGTTCTTATATGTTAATTTTCACTTCTAGAGTCCCAAATTTTGCTCAGGTATTTTAGTAGTGTACCGTTAGCTATAAATATGATTACAAGATTCTTAGATGGTGAAGAAACAGACCTTCTTGCCATTGTTTTTCATTTTCATCAGTGTGCGTGACAACCTCTATAAAAGTCTCTGTGTTATTATTTGCAAAGGGATTAAATAGATGCATCTTAATTACTCATATTATTCCTGTATGCATCAGTATACAGTTGTGGAATATCCTTTTAAAATAATAAAATGTCAGTTACTTTTTTTTTTCTTCGTTGATTTCAGAGAGAGGAAGGGAGAGGGAGAGAGGGATAAAAATGAGAAAGAATTATTGATTGGCTGCCTCATACACACCCCCTATTGGGGATTGAGCCCACAACCCAGGCATGTGTCCTGACTGGAATCGAACCTTGGCCTCTTGGATCATGGCTTGATGCTCAACCACTGAGCCACACTGGCTGGGTACCAGTTACCTCTTAATTCATTATGCTATCCATATTTTTATTTTATTTATTTTTTTCAAAATATTTTTTATTGATTTCAGAGAGAAGGAAGAGGGAGAGAGATACAGAAACATCAATGATGAGAGAGAATCATTGATTGGCTGCCTCCTGCATGCCCCCAAACTGGGGATCAAGCCTGCAACTCAGGAATATGCTCTGACCAGGAATTGAACTGTGTCTTCCTGGTTCATAGGTTGAAGCTCAGCCACTGAGCCATGCTGGCCGGGCTACTTTCCATGTTTTAAAATATGTAAATATATGTTGGGTTCAAAATAGTAAAATATGAAGAAGAGTTTATGATATTTTTGGTGATAGTTTACCCTCACTAAAGCAACATAGTAACTGTTGACTTAGTTAATAACAACAGCAACAGAACAAAAACAAAACCAGGAAAAGTCATTCTGAGCTAAAGAATAAATACATTTCTGTTACAGATTATAACAATGAAATGGAAGTGGAAGGCTCTGAAGACCCTGTGGTGTTTCTCGAGCAAGCAGTGCCTAAAGACGCCCGCAGCCAAGAGTCTACACCTGGAATTGTTCCAGATGGTAAGGGTGTTTTCCATAATGAATAGAGCCTATTTTCTGGAGAAAATGTGGGTACAGTGAATATGTGAATGTCTGCTGAAATTTTAGTATCCTAAATAAAAATTAGCCAAGATATACATACTGCTTAAGAAACTGTTTAGAGAGGAGCTTTTAGTAAAATAACCTTAGAATTCAATAGGGGAAAGGATACGGATATATTTGTAGTTGAGTTGTAATCTAGACTTAATCACAAATAAATTATTTGTTTAGGGATCAATTGATTTTCATTAAAAAGTGATCTATAATAATAAAAGCATAATATGCTAATTAGACCGGAAGTCCTTCCCCAGGACCTTCTGGACGAAGCCAAGGGGTGGGGGAGGAGCGAGCCCCTTGCACGAATTTTGTGCATCAGGCCTCTAGTTTGTAAAAAAAAAAACCCAAAAAAGTAATTTGTTATTTTTTACTTCTGAGTTATACTTGTTAATTACTAACTAGAGCCATTCCTGATTGTGAGATATTCCATGCTGAGATAATGAAAATTTATTTGAGGTCATCTAGCAATCCTGTTGAGGGTTGTTTTAGTTATTTCAATTAAGCTTTTTTCAAAATTGATAATATTACTGTACTTGAGGATCTGAAATTAATGAGAGACCAGGTTGAGGGATAAACTACTTCTTAAACTTACATCTTGGGCTTATTTGATAGTTTGTGGTAGTTTATGTAAAATTGTGTATTTTATAGATTGAATATAATTATTGAGATTTTTCTGAGATTAACTTTATATTTAACAACTTATTAAAAGGTATGTAACGTAAAAAAAAAGTAAGACAAAAGGCTATCTATAACAATAAGTCTCATAGTGCATATTCAGAATCCTCATTCTTTTTCATACCCATCTTTACACCCTGCTTACTAAGAAATAGTAGCATGGTGTTTTGTGCTTATATTGGAAATTGGCCTTTGACAATAGGATAAAAATGTTAAGTTACTTGGAAAGAGCAGGGTTTGGGAAATTTGACTGCTTGCTGGAGATTCCACGCATGTGTTATTCCCAGCAGTTCTGATCCGTGCTGGAGAACAGCAAGAGAGCAATCTGCCAGAAGGTCTGGACACACAGGGGCTTCTCACTTCTGGTAAGCGGCATGTTCCTATGGTCTGTTTGCTCCCATTACTACCATAACCATGCCTGTATGGTTTCTATACAGATTGGTCATTGTCGATTGACTTTCAAAATTAATCATCACAAATAATTATTTACTACTGCTTACATTCTATAAAAAGAATTGCTAAATCAAGTGTTCATTATTTAGGCAAGTTAAAATCATTGTATTAAACTAGCTGACTATAATTGAATTGTGTGTTTATATTTCTATCTTAATACTTCCTAGCATAGAACAGAAGGAATATATTTGTGGTCTCTACATGTGTTACATAAGTTCCTCTTTGCCAGTGTGACTTGAGGCTGTTGGTCTTCTGTTAGCATATGACTTAGGCTTCCTATAGCATTACGATAAGGTTTTTTCATTTGAGTCACTCAAATAATGGTACTTTTGGTTTTAAACCCTTAAGCATTTACTTTTCATGTGTGTTTAATTTTGTATTAAGTATTTTTGAAGGATTTTTGTGTTTAAAAATACTAGGTACAGTCCTGGCTGGTTTTGCTCAGTGGATAGAGCATTGGCCTGCAGACTGAAGGGTCCTGGGTTTGATTCTGGTCAGGGGCATATGCCCAGGTTGTGGGCTTGATCCACAATGGGGTAAATGCAGGAGGCAGCCAATCAGTGATTCTCTCTCATTGATGTTTCTGTCCCTCTCTCCCTCTTCTGCTCTAAATCAATAAAAATGTATTAAAAAATAACTTTAAAAAAGGTACAGATTTATTAGATGTTTTTTCTTTATCCTCAACTATAGTCTTCCAATAAAGTGGAAATGAGAAGTGAGATTTCATTTTGATATAAGGATGTAGATAAATTTCGGTCACCATGGTAAATCATAAAGGAGGAATTAGTGTGTTTAATGTAACTTAGAAATTACCATGATGGTATTTGAAATACTAAGTGCTTTTTACTAAGTCAGTGGTCTTACTTGCTAGGGCACTTAGGGCTCATGTCGATTGGACCCCTGAAGTTACTGTTAAGTAAGATTGGGTTAATGGTCCAACACACTAGTCCCCTGATTTAAAATTTACTAGTCAACAACTAGAAATATTTCTGATATATATAACACATGCCTTGAGTAGGTTAGCAGGTACAGCTGAGCAAAATCTTTTCTGTCTGTGGTCATTATACATTTGAGTCAACAGAGCTTTGTTTACATCTGGGTGCCTGCTGTTGCAGAATAGCCTTATATTCTGGACTAGTCTTCACTTTAACTTGGAGACCTTACATAACATCACTGAACTTCATTTCCTAGTTGTTAAATGAGTATAACTTCACCTACAAATTTTTAAATAGTTTTGTAAGTGCTCAATTTATAAAACACCTATACAATGTTATAGAAATTCTGTTTAAATATTCTTACCAGAAATACCTTACACCTTGGGGATCCTATTTTATGTGATGATTTTGTAGGTTTTCTGGTCTGATCTGATATTAATCTGCGCAAGCCTATTATTTTTAAGCCACAAAGCTACAGACATATAACCCATTCATGTCTTACAACTACTCCTAGTTAGAAATGTAAAAATTCATATGTACATTAACATAACAAATATTTCAACTTTTGTAGAATCATCTCAAGATAAAATGCATCCTGAATTGGAAAATCGGATTTCTCATGCAGTTGATAATGAAAAAGTGGAAATGTCTTCTAAAGTGATACATACTTGTGATGAAAATCAAAATGAAAACAAAATGGATGTGACGGGAAACGTCAACATCCTGGCACACCCGGCCACTGCACAAGAGGAGGTGCAGTTGTCAGAGGAACTTCAAGTGGTGGCATCCACTGAGGAGTCCAGGCCTCCAAATTCAATCATGGACTCCGTCACCATTCCACCAGAAACCTTGGTGCCCCCCTGTGAGGAAAGTACTGTATGCCCTATGGAACGCTTAGCTGTAGAAAGGGTACAAGAAGAAATGGAAAAGAAAGTTAGTTCTGAATCTTCCACTGCCTTCATGGACTTTGAAACGACTCCTGCAGTTGAGAGTTGTGTGAAGGATGGTTTATGCCAAGACAAATCTATGAAATTACCGCCTGAGGCGGAGTTATCATTTCCTTCGGCAGTGGACATACGCAAGGCCCATGCGTCTTCCTCTCCACCTCCTTCCTCGGACTTGCCTTCTCACGACATGCTGCACAGCTACCCTTCAGCGCTCAGTGCTTCTGTTGGGAACATCCTGCCCACCACTTACTTTTCTGTCACTCCAAAAATTGGCATGGGTAAACCAGCTATTACCAAGAGGAAGTTTTCTCCCGGCAGACCCCGTTCTAAACAGGTAGGGTGACTTTAATGATGTTGATAAATCACGTTGGAGCATTTCTGTAAAACAAGGTGTATGTGTGGCTTTGGAGGGCAATAATTTTTGCCTTCAGGTTGAACTTAATGTAGTGTTAACTTAGGTATATGGGCCATTTAAAAAAAATGCTGTTAAGGAAGAACTAAACTTGAAGTGATCTTATTTGGAATTTCAACTCATTTGTGATATATAAATGTAACCTATTTGATTACAGCTTCTAATAGAAAACACTTAAAATTTTTTAAAGTTCTAGTTTGCAGTTACAATAGAACCCTTTAAAAGAAACAGTAAAGTTTTGGGTATAGTGCAGCTGACATTTCAACTTAGGACTTACATCAGTGGTTTCATGGAAAAATCTTAGAATTTTCTTATTGATTTTCAGGAAGTGAAGGGAGCTCCTTCTGAAATTGTTTGAGGTAATGTGGGCTCTACCCCTAGAGCAGTGGTTATCAACCTTCCTAATGCCGCGACCCTTTAATACACCCTTCCCCAACCATAAAATTATTTTCGTTGCTACTTCATAACTAATTTTGCCACTGTTATGAATCGTAATGTAAATATCTGATATGCAGGATGTATTTTCATTGTTACAAATTGAACATAATTAAGGCATAGTGATTAGTCACAAAAACAATATGTAATTATATATGTGTTTTCCGATGGTCTTAGGCGACCCCTGTGAAAGGGTCGTTCAACCCCCCAAATGGGTCGCGACCCACAGGTTGAGAACCACTGCTCTAGAGGGTAAGTTCCAGTTCTTTTTAAGTGGCACTTAAGCGAAACTACATGCAAAGTGAAGACGCCATATCTAAGACTGATTTATTCTACAAAATTCTACTTAAGTTTTTATAAAACGGCCAGATATCAAATAGTGCATAAGTGTTTAGTCAAAATGATAATTTGAATTTTCAAGTCTCATGACTTAAATTGATGAAAATTTTGACTTTTTATAGGATTAGTATCTGGGTCATTTATTTTGGAATTATAAGATCAGTAGCAAAACAAAATTGTATTTTATGTTAATGTGAGAATTAGTCTCCTCTAAATAAAGTCCAGATATATTTTTATTTTGTAAATATGGCATGTTACAGTTATAAACCAGGAGAGATCTTTATTCTCAAACCAGTTTTCCTGCTCCTTAGTCTTCTCTTGTTTTCATTTTCTTTTGTTTGTTTTTCTTGTCCTTTTTATTTCTTGAATAGATTATAGTAAATACGTAGTTTTGGCTCTGAAAAGATCTTAGCAATGTAAATTTGATTCTCACATTTAATTTTGGTCCAGATAATTTACATTCTTTAAGAATATAAATTCTTTACATTCTTTATTTATAAATAAAAAAATACAGCATTTCTCCTTATTTAGAGACTTCTGTTCCAACTGAGAAACCGTTAAGATTATTTTTCTGTTGACTTATGTTCTAAAATTGTGTGTGTGTGTGTGTGTGTGTTTCCAGGGTTATTCCATTTGTATGAGCCATGTCCCCATATTTGCTATTGTTTCTCCTGTGTCCTCTTTTACCCCTTAGTCTGGTAGTGTCTTGCCTCCTATTTATCTCACTACTGCTTCATAATCCGCTGCTAATCTCATGAGTGTTTCGTTGGCCATGTTTTACCTCCCCCTTGTATTGGTTGTAGTTGGGCAGCAAACAGCCTCCATTGATGAGTTCTAGCTCTCTAATGCACTGCCAAACTTGTGCAGAGATGCCTTGCCTAGAACAAGGTAACACTTCATTTTTAAAATCATTGCTTAGGTACTGGCATCATGTTACATGAACAGGAATGTGTCCAGCCTTATATTGGAAATTCATTATTCTATCACAT